GATCAGCACACGTGTGAATCCGATCAAGATGTGGGAACGAGTGAAAGCGATGGCTAGGCTTGCGAGCGAAGTCAGCAAGGTGGGTCCGCTGCGACCCCCCCCCCCCCCGTCAAAAATGTTGAAAAAGGAACTACTCTAGTATTTTTTAGTTACGACCAGTTATAAAGGTGTAATTTAGATGAAAAAAAAACGTGGGGGTGTGGCCCTTGATAAGCAAACCAGATCTTAATGGGAGCAATCAGAGTTAGGGGGGTGCAATTGCCCCTCCCCCTAAATGACCCCCCCCCCCCCCCGTCAGATGAGAACTATACCGACTTCACTTGATTGTAGATCAGATCCTACACACGCATAGCACAAATTGCTAAAAATAGACAAATAAAAAATATTTAATGTGGAAGCTTGTTGATGACTGTTATGATCAAATAAGTTTCAAAGAACTTTAACACTATAAATCGCTCAGAAATCAAGAAATACATTTAAAGCGGATGAGCTTCAAATCAAGATCTGCTGCCAATTTGGCTTTGGGCTTTAACGGTTGATGGATGACGGCGATGTGCCCTCTTCAAACAACGGCCTCGGTGAGTGTAACTAACCGGCGTGACGTGGCTCAAATCATGACAGATCCAGTGAATAGAACATAACAGAAATCTTTCAACCAGAAATGAATTCTCGAAGTCCTGTTCGATGACTGAAAATGATTTGCTGTCTTGAAAAAAAATCGGGTTGGATAGGAAGGGAGTTTGCACTGTCAAAGTTCAAAATAATGGGCGTTTCTTAAGTAGCATTAACGGATGAACAAAGAGGTAGAAAAGTAATTGGAATTACGTCTTTTATTGTTCCACTACAGTAAGGAAGTCAGATATAAGAACACCTGTAATACTGTTGTCATGTTTCTCTGTTTTCACTTTACCTTATATTGAGCGTTTGTCCCGACTCGTCCATTCACCAGAGTGTATGCATTCACTATGTGTGCGTGTGCTTATGTTTATATATGTGTGTATGGATGCATGTTCAGCATGTGTATGTGCACACACACACACACACACGCGCGCGCATGTGTGTGTGTGTGTTTGTGTGTGTATGCACATACACATACTTAACATCCATCCATACACACATAGTTATCTGTATACATGTATAGATATATATATACACACACACGTGTGTGTATATATATACAGTTTACACACACACACACACATTTATGTATTCGGATATATATGAATATCGGTATCAAGGGTAAGGACAAATATATACATACTCACAAACACGTGTGTGTGTGTGTGTGTGTGTGTGTGTGTGTGTGTGTGTGTGTGTGTGTGTGTGTGTGTGTGTGTGTGTGTGTGTGTGTACATATATTTACTGAATATATAATTTTGAATGCCCCAATAGATGATATTGTTGCTGAAAAAAAACAATAGATGAATGTATAATCTTTAGACAAGAAATATGATTATCTTGTCATTATTTACCATAAGAAACATATATATATATATATATATATATATATATATATATATATATATATATATATATATATATATATATATCGTCATATATTCTTTCATGAGTCGCAAACACAAACTCACACACACACACACATACGGACTAATTTTCACAGATACACATACGCGCGTGCGCATATATACAATCACGCGCGCGCGTGTGTGTGTGTGTTTGTGTGGTGTCTGTGTACACTCGCCAAAAAAGAGTATCTTTACTCGGGAGTAGATGAAACCGAAACGATCGCTAGGTGTTGATTCGGATATGTTGGTACTTGTTTTTTTTTCAAGGCTCGGAACAGATGAAGCTTCATAATGTGTTCGGATTGTGTTTCGGAGTTGATAGGACCTCGTATTATGGCAATTAGTGATGGAGAGCTTATAGACCATTGCATCGCCATAATTACGCTTTACTCTGAGGGATTATCAAGAGACGAAATATTAAGATTAGGTATTTCGAAGCCAACCGTGCCTCTGTGGATCCAGTGACACGAAGCAACTGAATCCACCAGAGAAAAGGCCAGAAGTGGGCTCCCTAGATGCATTGTAAATACCTATAACTATAAATCAACGTGCTATATGAAAGACAAATAGGAAGCTTGTACTAAAGTGCATAAATATCGCGAGCTAATGAAAACTATTTGATACTCAGTGGCAACACCCCTTACATCTAACGATTTGAGAAGGGGGCGTGGTAGGTAGTTAGTTGCCATGTCCACAAATCGTGAGTCATTTTCGTCTTGATTAAATATTTTCATTATTCCTTTTTCTAACAATCCACAATTACCGCAAGGGACGCGAACCCCATTTGTTCTGCCAGCAACAGTACACAGACTGTCAGAAATTGCTGGGCCGTTTGAGTGGATGCACAGCAGTGGTGTCGGGAAGTTAACGGATGGCGAGCGTGGTAGATTCATGGAGTATGACTACGTGAAAATCCTGGATGAAATGTTTCTACCGCCGGTGAGGGCCATTTTATCTCGTCCAGGATAACAGCCCTATCCACACGAGCAGTGTTGTGAATGCGTGATTTCGGCAACACCCCGAGATTACGCTGTGCCACATCCACCCAAATCTCAGTCTCACTGAGAATGTTTGGCCTGCAATCACCCAAGCAATTACGGCATATGAGTGATTGCGCTCTGCAGACGGACGCCATTTATCGGAGGCGTTAGTGACATTAATGCCACTTAGACTTGCCGGCGTTCGCCAAGCTGGTGGCGGTAATACGACATTTTGATAATATTTCACATTTCAAAACCTTGAATTTTTTGTGTAGCTGAGCGAAATAAACAATAATTTGAAGAAAAAAAGTTATTCTACGGGCATGTTAAGCCATAACCGGATTTGTATAGGTGTAATTAGTAAAAAAAGTTAGAGATTGTGATTCTTAGAGGGAGGGGACTGGCCCCGTGCCCCCCATCCCCGAAGTAACGCCCCTGTTAGGGATACCAATACCAGGTCGAGCTCACAGCACTTTTTTTCCAACCGTTTTCGTCGTCGTATCATATTGTTAACCCAGAAAGGGCAAAGATATTTGTTTTTAGCGACTGTACATATTCTTAAATTATGATTTATTTGTACTAGGCTACTGACTACCTGGACGACAACATAGGACTATCATGGACGACAACATAGGACTCCAATAGACCCACAAAAAACAAGGATAATATCAAGAGATATTATTATCGTCTTGAATTAAAGTAGGTCCTTAGCGCATCCCAAGATAAGGTGTAGAAACATCTGGTTCGTGGCTAGTGAATAGAAGGGAGGGGGGTATTTGATTAGCCAAGTCTTGTGCAGCATGAGCTCGTCAAGACAGGTGGAATCATATTGCATAATGTATGTGTGTGCATGTGTGTGTTTGTGTGTGTGACTTATATGGTATAGGTTGTGTGTGTTTGTTTGTTTGTGTGTGTGACTTATATGGTATAGGTTGTGTGTGTGTGTGTGTTTGTTTGTGTGTGCGACTTATATGGTATAGGTTGTGTGTATGTGTGTGTGTGTGTGTGTACGCGAGCTAACATCTATGTGAAGAGATAATGTAACATTACAACAAACTACGCAACTAAATTGTATCAATAAGTCAACCAAAAAAAAAAAATGATTGAACGTACTATGCTCTGCATTCTATCACCACGTGGACCAAAATAGCATTCACCATGAAAAAAATAAGAAATGTATAGTAAATTTCTTGCTATCTTCTCACGTAAAAGGCCATATTTTTATTAAGATATATGATTCTTGATATATGTACAAGTGTAGAAATATATATATATATATATATATATATATATATATATATATATATATGTATGTATGTATGTATATATATATATATATATATATATATATATATATATATATAAAATAGATAAACGGCCTATTTATAAACCAAATCACACACACGCGCACACAAACACACACACACGCACACACACACACACACACAATCACACACACACACATATATATATATATTTATATATATATATATATATATATATATATATATATATATATATATATATAACTTGGCAAAAGGAATTCCTGATAAGAAATTTTTCTAAGAAACAAATGTACGAAAATGTGCACTTATATTTCAGGTTACAGATAACAATCAGGAAAAAGTATTACATCAAGCATTCTGTGATTAGAATGCGAAAGGGAGTAATTTTATTCATGTTAGATTAAAATAAAACTTGAAAAAGAGGATAAATGGAAGGAACAAAAACAATATACAAAGAAAGGATACAGATTATTGTTTTTTTATTATATTATGAATATTGATCAGCCAGGTCGTCGAGGATCTCCCCCTTGCCATCTGGCATTTAGTGGCATTGTCAAGTTAGTTTAGTAGTCCCAGTCCACACCACACTCGAACTGTTCTCTGGACTGCACTTTGTCCCCTACATTTTATCTTTCACCACTTCATCACCTTCACCTACCTACCAAGTCCTTCGGCGAAGGGGAAGGGTGAGTAAAACAGGTCTACGTTAGGACTGGAGGCTCCGAGTCTGAATTCTGCTGTCCATAGCCAATGGGTCGCTGCCCGAGTGGGAAGGAGCAAAACTCGGCCTCGGCAGGTTTGGATGACTGAGCTGCCCTTTTTAGGGTCTAGGCAGGTCCCCACCAGAGGAAGACAGCCTAGAAAAGGTGACCCAAACACTGTCTGCTCCAACCCTAACCTTAATGGTGAGCCGTGACCATTCGATTAACATCTCTTACGGTCGAAAGTATAAATAAATAAAAAGCACCACTTAAAAGTTAGGAACCTGGAACATCAGAGCTCTTCAAGATCACACAGCTGCTGTTAACACAAAAAAAAACTAGAAGAACTGCGCTCATTGCCAGCGAATTTGACATTGTAGCATTAAGTGGGACAAGATTTCCAAACAAAGGCCTACGAAAATAGGGGAAGGCTATACATTCTGGAAAGGCCTCACTGAAGATGCTTAGAGAATCCATGGTGTTGAATTTGCTATAAAGAACAGGACTATGGCCAATCTACCTGATGGCCCTAAAGGTATCAAAGATAAATTAATAACTGTATGTGTGTGAGTGCGCTTGTGTGCGTGGGTGGCTATGTATTCTAGCTGTATTTTTTTTTTAAAGTATGATAAAGATCCAGAGATAATATTAGCTACATCATCCGGTATTAGTCATGAATGTGACATTCAACGTTAAAGTGCGATCTGCCCTTTTTATCTATTTTTAATGTTTTGTTTATTTGATTTTTGGTTATTTGCTTATCTTATTTATGAGTCTTATTTATTTACCATTTTATCTTTTATTGCGAAAAGAGATTTCCAAGACTGAGGTCTTTGTGCCTATGGGTAAAGTCGTCACGCCCACTGACTACGGCCGCTTCTCTGACTGTGAGTTTCCTCTTGCCAACGAATTTCGTAACTACTGTTTTCTCTTGCCCTTTATCAGTGACTGATTCTAATGAAATTACATGCAAAAAGTGCCATTACAATCTACGAAAGCAAAAAATGTCTTTCGGGACAACAGCCGCTAGTGGAACGTCCGGAGTCCTTCATCAGGTGGACATCTCTGTCATGACCAACGCTGACTGTGACACCAATTATGGCGTCGTCGGCAACGGTGTCGTCTGCGTCGATAGCACTGGCAGCAAGGGCACCTGCAACGTAAGTAAATCCATACATGAGTGCCATATTGCTTCATAATCGGGAAAGAAAACGTAGCATCTCGCCCCGTCTTCTACAGCACTCACTAAGTTTCATTTTATTCTAATAAAACGACACTCGGTACTTGTGTTCGCGTATGTTTTGCATTTCTAAACATGGGTACACTAGGTCTGCTACAGTTTTTTTTTTCTCAATAATTGATGCTTCCAACATTATTTTCCAAAGGGACCGGGCGAATTGAAGTGCTCCCGAGTTCGAAGTGAGCAGCCATTATTTTTCGTTCTTTCTCTTTTTCTTGCGATTCGACGCAATATAGTTACACATTTGTTAATCAAGGCCATTTTCCCAGCTCCTATACAACCGAATCTTCCCTCTGGGCGACTCTGGCGACCCCCTCAACCTCAATGGCATGACCTACGGCATCACCTCCTTCGGTGCCTCCGCCGGATGTGAGAAGGGCTACCCCGACGCCTCCATTACTACCTGGACTGGATTGAGGCGAAGACTGGCGTTACACCCTGAGTGACTTCGCCGTCAGCAGATATCAGAAGCATTGTGTAAAGTGTTAAAAAGATTATACAAATTATAAAAAGGGAACATTAATATACACTGAATAACATACGGATGGTGTCATCAAGCAACCATTGGTACGCCGCATCGCATCAAAATAATAAATCATTAACAAAAACGATCTTTGATCTATTACATCTTTAAATGAGAGTTGTGTGTAAGTAGCTGCCATATTCCATTATATAGGACAAGAGCAGCCAAATATCATCCTAGAAACAATAATGATTTCAAGGACCTGCTTAACTGGAGATATCTGGGTTGTTCGTGAACTTGAAGTGGGAGAGAGAGATATGCTGCCGTGGGAAGATCCTGGCTTTTTATGATGATTGTGGTGATGGTGATGATAATCATGAGGATGGTGTTGGTGTATGGGTGAATGAGTTATCCACTGAATATTCCTCACCTGTCGTAGGTTCCTTTCACACACACATATATATAGAAAGATGTGTATATACATGTATATATATAGAAGAGAGAGATGTGTGTATATATGTGTATATTTACATATATACATATATAAAAACACATACACGCACACTCACATGTGTGTGTGTGTGTGTGTGCACATGAAATGGACATATACATATATATATATATATAAATATATATACACATACACATCCGTATATACGTATATGCGTGTATATATATACATACCTACACACGCATGCGAGTATACATATATACATGAATGTACATATAATCAAACGATGCACCGTTATTTATACCCCACTGACCAGCTAATAGGTTAATACAAGGTAATTTCTTAATTAAGAGAGCTTCAAAAAAATATGTATATACGAAAATACAGAGCTTTATGAACCACGCCACGCCGTTCCAAATAATCTGATGGTCCTCCTGTCGTGTTAATAAAAATGATACAAGTTCTCCAAATGAAGGAAGAATCTAAAATTAACCTAAGCACCGACGAGTAGGTAATGAATGGCCTTACATTATTCTCAGTTGGTAAAGACTGACTTGCTCCAGTTTTTTTTCTTGCTCAAACAGTGAATTTAAAAACAAACGCCACTTAAGAGCAAAAATATCAAGTCCCGCGTGCTTTTTCCCACGGAATTCTCAAGATGGAATGCACGAAAAGTTAAGATAATATCAAAGGTAGAAAAAGTTTTCGGGCGTGGGGTGACTTTCATGAAATATATTTTTTCTTTACGCTTTATCTGTCTTATTCGTGTTTTTTTTTTATAAGAAATTTGTAAAAGAAATTAAAGATAAAATCTGGTCGTTCTGAAAATCAGCTAATAACTTTCTCGTTTCTTCTCTCGCTTCTCTTCCCCTTTCCTCCTTCCGTCTCTGAGTTCTCTCTCCCGCTCTCTCTTCCTCCTTCTCCCTCTCTCTCTCTTTCCCTTACTTTATCTCTGCGAAAAACTTATTATGCAGCCCATGGCTCCAACTGCAATGATGCCATTCCACTCAACATTTTCTTCGGAGCATTAAGCATTGCATGGTAAGTACTACATGCCTTGATATAAACATTTCAACCAGCGCCACACATTCTGATTAATCATTGCTATGAACATGAATCGTACATGTCTGGCGTAGACATGAATGCCACGACTTGAAAGAATGACAGCTCGTTTTGCCACATTCAGGGTTTCCAAACAATTGACATGTTTCCGAATAATCTAGAGCACAACTTTTTTCTTGGTTAAGTATATGTTAACGTCAAATTTTCGTTTGTCGTGTTTGGCATGTTTATTTGAAAAATAAAACGTAATATTCTAAAAAAAAAAAAAAAAAAAACGCACAAAAAATTCAATATACTTTTCTTATATTTCATACATGACAGAACACGATTCCCATTATATATCATAGTCAAGTATAATTATAGATATGACTCACGTTCCCCTCATCAAAAAATCTTGCTTTTTTATGGTAGTGGCAGTAGTGGTATTTTTGGGAGGTTGTGGCTGAAAAAAGTGACCAAAAACTGAATTTTCAAATGACTTTATTCACCTTCCAAGTATAAACATCAATCCCCCCGCCCCCTCCACAACTACATTAACATATCACTTCTTTTATTCCTTCCATCCTCCCTTCCTCTTCTAGATCACCTAGATCCCCACGTGTTCCTTCGTGTTTAGCCTCAAGGGTCGATAGCGATGCCAGTCTTCTCCGAGATCCAATCCAGGTGCTTCGAGATGCGAGTGAAGCCGGATGGGTACCCAGCGCCACAGCCGGAACCAGCCGAGAACACAGCGATGCCACGGGCGTACGTGATTCCGTCCTTCACGTAGTTCAGAGGACTGCCTGAGTCACCCTGAAACAGAGGGGGAGAGTAGGGGGAGGACCGGAAGTTTTAGTCGAGGGTTGGAAGTTTGATTACGAAGTGTAGAGCTTTAGTCGAAGTTATTGGAGCTTTAGTGAAGTGTGATGGAGGTTAAATCAAATGAGATGGAGGTTTGTTTGAAAGAAGAGGATGGTGAAGTATAAGGGTTAGAGGTTTAACTAAACGGATTAGAAGTTTAACTAAAGAAACTGGAGTTTTATTCGAAATCATGGAAGTTTATTCGAAAGGAATGGAGATAATGACTAGAGTTCACTTAATTAAAGACTTTTTAAAGACGTTTTGGCATATAAAGCATGTTATCAATCTCCAACTGGGAAATCAAATATAAATGGACACTACAAATTAAAACGGTTTCGTCTACTTTTGTCATTTCTAATAACTCGAAAGCCAGAGCCCATCGTTGGCGAACACAGATGCTCATGGCCCACTAACCTTCACTGCGCTTGACCAAGATCTAATTTGACTAACATGAAGGTTGGACGAATCTGGTTAAAAATGTTTAAAAAAATGCTTCTTCATCGAAAAATGTCAAGATGACATCTGACATATGAATCAGATTATCTTTTTATATTGTGTAATACTTTGCCTAGTAACTGGTCCACTGGCGGTACCATTGGTCTAGTTCAGTTAAGAAAATACTAACTATAATAGAAAAAGAACATAAACGTAAATGTATATATACAGATATATTAACATAGATATATATTTTGTTCTTATTATATATGTGTGTGTGTGTGTTTGTGTATACGCACACACACAGGCGAGTGTGCATATATATACATGTATAATCATGAGTAAATTTAGATGTATATTTATGAATATGCTTAATTACATATATACGTGCATGGTCACAGACAAAAACACACACACACAAAGAGAGAGAGGGAGTGAGTGAGAGAGAGGAAAGGAGAGAGATATAGAGACATACATACAAACAGGAATAGTAACAGAGAGACAGTCTGAAAGAAATAGACTGAACTTAAAAGACAGAAAGACGGCGAGTAACAGACATACACACATGAACACCTATATAAAATCATCGAGTAAACTACTTTTATAACAACAGGCCCCTTACAGTGCATATGCCAATACCCCTGTCGCCCGAAGTGCAGATATAAAGGTCGGTAATAACTTCTCCATAGACGTCCTTGCACTGCTCGATCGTAATAGTCTTCAGGTTTAAGTACTGCAGCGTGTGGTGGTAACCGTGGACTGTTTGAGGGGAAAAATATATGATTATTTGTTTTTATTTTTTGTTGTTTGTTTGTTTTTTTTTACTTTTCATTTTTGCTGTTTAAATTCTAGTTAACCTGGTGATGTTATTCTTTACAATATTTTGTTTATATTTCTCTTTTTCTATTTTGTATGAATTATTCCTAACATCTCGATATGCATACATTGCACACATACATCATCGTTTCGAAAGTCTAAGTCTTGACCATTAATTTACAGCTTGTACTATTAAAGATTTTCATTACACATTATAACAGTAATAGTGCTATAAGAAGTATTCGTAATAACACTAGTAATAGTAAGGTTACTAGTTGTCTATACAGAAGCTACAATACGATCATGAAGAACAATATCATCAATACTGCAATACATCGTTTCATTAATCAAAAATTTTATTGCTGCATGTGCTTTTGTACTTCGATCACTTACTGTCAGCTCCCCATCCCGTGGCGGTCACATCCATATTAACAAAATTAGCAGCGTCAGCGGCATCCGTGTAGCTTGGTAGACACACAGGCTGGATGTAGTCTGTAAAAGAGTGAATAAGTATTTAGGCATTTTCTCGTGTAGTAGTCATACGATATGAGTGATGTCTAATGGAAAAAGCAGATTGAATTTCGTCTTTTTTATAATGAGATGATTGCTTTTGCATTTCATTGGTGTTGAATGTGTAATTAAAGGCCCACTCAGCTAATTTTGGATGCAAATTATTGAAAATTATTTTGAATGATCTTAGAGATAATACATGTTAATATACATATATATTTATATGTGTGTATAATGTATATATATGTATAGTGTGTATATTTATATATATACATATATACACTTGCGTATACACACACATATATATGTATTATGTATATATATAAGTATATATATACATATATATATTTATATAGAGAGAGACATCATGATTAATTTTCCTTGTCTTTTTTTCATTTCCTATTAAGCCCTTGTAAGTCCCTTTTCTCGCGTTCTCTCTCATCTCACTAACCATTGAACCCGATCGGCTGACGGAGTTTGATGACAGCAATATCGTTATCGAAAACCTCGGGGAAATCGAGGTCCTCGTGGACGTAATACTCGTCAGTCTCGTAAGTGACCTGAGACTCCTCCCACTGGTCGCGGTTGTGGGCCCCGAACAGTACCTGGAGGAGGCCGGACCTGGGAGAGGAAAAGGCATGGTGAATGGGATGGAGACAGGAGAAAGAGGTGAGACAGGAAGACGACAAGAATTGGAGGTGGAAGAGGGGGTGAAAGGAGGACCTGGGAGAGGAAAAGGGAAAGGGCGTTGGTGAATGGGAAGGAGACAGAAGAAAGAGGGGTGAGAGGAAGAAGGAGCTGATGAATGAGAAGGAAAAGGGGGGGAGCTTGGAAATAGATAAATAAACAAGTAATAGGAAAACTAAATG